CTCACACACGACAGCTTTCTAAAGCATTTTCTGACAAAACGGATCCTAGCTCAGTGGACCAAACAACTGAATTGATTGTGTAAAAAAGAAGCCTGAAGGGACTGATTATAATAGTATTGGATAGGTATTGATGATTTTGTCCTCCTTATAAAACAGTTTCCAAATAAAATACTTTTTTATCTAGTTGGTTCTATCAGAGTACCCTCCATCATCACCAAGTATGATATGCAGGACATACTGTGCCTGGACAAATAATGGTTTTTTTTTTCTTTACAGAATAGATTTAAACTTTGGATGTCTTCTACCAAATGTGAATCGTAGATCTTAGAGTTGGCATGTGCCACAAGATTTTGCGTACTGATGGCAGGTGCAAAAAGTATAAAAGTTAGTTTGGTTTGTGCTGTCTCAGGCACCGCATATTTTGACAAGCAGCAAAGGACGCAAAAATAACGTTGTGGCTTATAGTCTCGTGTTTGTGGAGCCATAGTCTTTCCTGAACAGAATGGATTTAGGCTTTTACTGTATCTGACTTGCCTCTGGCTTGAAATAGGTCATCATCTTTATTACATTGCAAGGGAGTGCTTATTTGCAAAATTAATGCACAATTATCCACAATAGGCAGATACAAGTTGATATATTCCAGTATATCTGGAATATTTCCAGTCTTCTGGCTGCCTGTGTCCATGTTAGCATGCGTCAGCTTCCTTGTGTCAGCAGCACTAAAAAGAGAATCAAATCTCATCTCTTGTGATAGAGAATAACCTTAACCTAATGCTACCAGATAAGACAGAAAAAATTATTTGAGGCTTTTTTTGGAAAAATGATAAGGTTATCTAAGCTGTAAAGGTTTCATTGCTTTCTCGTGGAACTACAATGAAATGGTGTGTCTCACAACCATGCTGCTTCCTGTGGGAAAGGACAGGACTTGCATGTAGACAGTACTAGGTGCATTACAGACTTACTTCAGAATACATTAAGATTTCTAGCAACTGTCTCTTAGGCTGGCATCAATTTTGGTATTTCTGCACGATACTTGGCAATTGTGGTTTTATGATTTCCTACAGATGGGGAGTTTCATAAGTGTAGTGGAGTGCTCATAAAAGTAACAAAAAATAGGTCTTTCTTAATGACCAGCAGGCTTCTGCAGTTTTCTTTTATTTCTAGAGAAAGTGTGAATACAATGTGGATAAAGGGATTACTGCAATATCTCAAGGAAGGAATGGTATTAGTGTGTATGCATTTAGCTTGAAAAACGTTTGTTCTGGTGTCTAGGAACAAGCTCTTTGGTCCACAACTGATAGCTAAAAGGATTGTCTATTTCATGTTTTTGCTGTCTCTGTTAGGTAGTTCTTTGCTGCTGTCTTGGAATGTACATGCTGACGGGGCATGAGATGCTTACTAAAATCCTAGGCAATTTTTGGACACTTAAGTTTTATCTGGACAGTTGAAAAAACCCTGTACGTCTGTGAGTGCTACTGAACTCCAGAGATTTAATTCTTAAGAACCTAGTGTTTCAGGTTTTTTCCACAAAGATGATGGGGATTTGTCTTGGCTCAGTCTGTAAAACTGGGCACATGATGCAAACTTAGCTGAACAAACAAGTATGAGAGGAGAAAAGACAGGCTGAAGTTGCTGGCTCTGCTGGCTGTGTAAATGCAACAAGTACGGTGTATTTTTTGTGAGGTAGAAGCTGTGGATACTGTGGTGTGTAGAAGCAGAAGTTTTTGAGTTGCATGAGGTCGTTTGCACAGAGCACCAGTTCCGAATTCCAGCTAGGAAAAGACTCAAGTTCCTTCAATTGAATTGTTGTAGTCATAGATGCTGTGTAGTAGGATGCAGTGTACTTGCACAGGGGTTGATTCTCACGTTAAGGGATGCTTTGAACTGCAAAAACCTGTATGTAAGCATATTCACTGATATAGGAAACCAGAAGGATGTCTTCTATAAGTAAAAATAAGTAGAAGTTGCTGCTTAAAGGGAAATTGTGAAGCTTGGAAATTTGCCATGGCATATGTGTTCTTGTGCCTACTTCATTAGGGATAGAATATGCTAGTCAATACTAGATTTGTGAAAGGTTTTTTTGCTTGTCAGAAGATTTTTGATGAATATGGCACACAAAATAGGTTTTCCATTTCTATGAGCAACAAGTAATTATGGTTGACTTTGATAAATTTCTTTCTTCCTTCAGCACACTTTTACCTGTGGGAATAGCCTTTCTAAGATGATAGAAATCCATATTCAGTTTTCCTGTAAAATTCTCTTGTGGAAAGGCTCTTGGTTTAGTGCACAGATGTATAGTAGGTAGTTCAGGGCACCGTTTTCAGCTCCTCTGAGCAGTGTTGTTTTCCACTAGACTTCAGCTTCTTCAGGTGATGACATTTTTGCCATAGCCTGGCAGCTGGCGGTAGGTTTCAAAATTTTTTATTCATTAGTCACTCAGTTTTCGTTCTTGTCATGATACTAACTTAGCAGGAAGATTTCTGCCCTTGTTAAAGGCTGTTTGATTCACTTACAAACATCTCCTAAATAGTATGCTTCTGTTGTGAATGTTGCTGCTGTTTGGTTGTATTTGTTATTCTATATCTTTACTGTAAGAGAAGAGAGAAGCAAGGTTGTAGTTATGGCACAAAATAGAAAATAACATATGAGCAAGGAAGTTATTAATTGTGAATCTTAAAAAAAAAAAAAAAAAAAAAAAAGGAAACTCATCTGACAGAGGTTCCTGCTACTCAGCACTGGTGAGGCCACACCTGGAGGGCTGGGTCGAGTTCTGGGCTCCCCAGTACAAGAGAGACGTGGACATACTGGAGAGAGTCCAGTGAAGGGCCATAAAGATGATTAAGGGTCAGTGAAAGAAAGATGGAGCCAGGCTCTTTTTTAAGGTGCCCAGTGACAGGAGCAGAGGCAGTGGGCACAAAATGAAACACAGGAGGTTCCCTCTGAACATCAAGAAGCACTTTTTTAATGTGAGGGTGACGGTGCACTAGCACAGGTTGCCCAGGGAGGTTGTGGAGTCTCCATCCTTGGACATATTCAAAAGCCATCTGGACATGGGCAACCTGCTTGAGCAGGGGGTTTGACTGGATAACCTCCAGAGGTCCCTTCCAACGTCAACCCCTCTGCTGTTCTGGGTTACTGTGCCAGTGAAGCATCTTCCCTCTCCACCTCCCCTATTGCCAGGCATTTAAGTATAGTAAATGGTTGTATATTGGCTGTGGTACAGTACAGGTTTGAGGAAAATTGCCAGAATGACCAAATAATAGAAGTTATGTTAAATACCGATGAAACCTGCTTTTGAAGGTAAACCTGAGGTGATTCCTTAATTTGCCAAGAATTTTCTGTATATGCACCCAGGCTAACAGCATGTTACCAGTTACACAGTAACTAAACATCCTGAATATCTTATGTTCAACACGTTAATTGAAATAGTATTCATTCAAGCTTGTTCTTTTCACCAACCATACAACTAGCTCTTGCCCTCTTGGGAAAAAACTAGCAAAATACTGAAATCCTCTTTGCTACTGGTTGGCAGTCCTAGCTTCAATGTGATAAATTGATTGCAAGTTGAGAAGCAAGCTGACTTTCACAGTTACCTCAAAGGAATCTACATGCAGAATACTTGAGTAGCAGGCTCTGTTTGGTGTCCCCTCTCTCTTTGTAGTTTGGATTGCTTATTCCTGAGCAAACTATTTTTGCTTGACTGTAGCTTCTTGACAAAATCTTTCTTCTGGTATCTGTTCTAAAACTTGGGCTAGAAATAAATCAATTATTAGTTTACTTTAGGAAATTACTGGCAAATAACTGATGTCTAGAATTAGAAGGGGTAAATAAGGTGGCGTGCAAAATGTGAATTCTGTATTTTAGAGTTTGTTCCTTTGTAAACATCTCAAGTTATGTAGTAAAATTTATTTTGATCCAACTTGGATTGGAACCTGTTATTGGTGCCTACTTCAGAATATGATGTTATTTGCACCTTCTTTTCAAAGAGGAAGGTTGTCACAATTTGTAAATCCAGACCTGGTCTTGAGGCTGTATATATTATAATTTGTGAAATGGATAAAAGTTAAACTGAAAAAAGTAACAGGCATCTTTAAAATCCCTTTGGAACAAGCACTGTGTATAATAATTTCTCTCATCCTGGGTCTAATAACTCTGACATAATCATTTTTTCCTGATAAATAGTCTGAATAACAGTACCTATGAATAATTCTCATTTTCCTCCCTCTTCCCCTGCTATAAATTTCTGATTTTGGTTGGACTAATATAGCTTCTTAAATCAGTGTAGCATTATTGCTTTAAGTGTTTGGGTTTGTGCTTTGCCTTTTTTAGGTATAAATTAGGATTCATAATACTGTTCACCTACAATAGTCTCAAAGTCCTAAAACTGACTCTTTCAAGATTTTGTGAAGAATGAGTAACAACCTGAGTTGTTTCTTAGTAGAGTGCAGTAAGTTTCCTCTGTGCACTAGAGGTAGATGTCTTTTTCACATCATGTCCAAGGTCTCTAAGAAAACTTGCAGTGTAGACAGAGTACAGAAGTCAGTATAGAAGGTGGTCGTTAAGCACCTTTATCAAGACATCCTAATCTCTTGCAAACACTAGGTCTAGGTTTTGTGAATGTTGTTTACACAGATCGCTTAAGGTTTGATAGTGAAGGAGTTCTTCCAAATTTTGTAGTACTGTACAAATTGGGTTGCAAAGTCTTGCAAGGAAAACACTTCATATGGTTTTGATAAACTTGAAAAATAGCTGTTCTTAAGTTTTTTTTTATTCAATGGCTCGTTAATTTTAAAACCAAACTTAATTTTCTGTTTATCTCAGAAGTATGCCATGTCTTACTGACAGTGGCTGAACACGATAGCTATGTTTCCTCTTTTACTGATAACTAAAATACTTTTATTATGGACTTCTGTTATTAAATATCAATAAAATATATTTTGTTTTAGAATAGATTCTCTAGGTTCCTTTGGGTTATAAAAATCTTTAATTGTCTGTTTCAGGTGTGGAATATCAAACAGATGATTAAATTAACACAAGAACATATAGAGGCACTGCTAGACAAATTTGGAGGAGAGCATAACCCACCGTCTATATATTTAGAGGTAAGTTTACATTTAAATGAATGTTGGTATATTAATGGTGCGTTATCTTAATCTTATCTAAAGCATCTTACGTTTAAGCTGAGAATACCTGTAGTAAAAGAGAATATTCTCCTTGTGTGTTAGAAACT